GTAATAAAAATACATTGATTAATAAATATATATTTTGTTATACTTTGCTATACTTGTAATACTTTTTAGTATTTAAAAATGTATTATTTCAATTTTTTGAATAATAAATATAATCTTGTATAATTTTTATTTTTCACAAATAATCAATCATATATTATCACAGTATGGAAATACTTTTGCATTTTATACAAACATTGCAAAAATATATTACCATAAATATTTTTATTTCAAATAAAATTTTATTTTACAGTCATGTTTTTCTGACACAATGAAGCTATATAAGAATTTAGGCTAGAAGGCATAATGAATATATAATCAGACATTGAAATATTCATTACAACAAGGTTATTGATTCCACTTATAAAACCGGTGTGGAATTTTCAATGGGCTTTTAATCGGATTCATACGGAACTTATGTAGAGCTAAAGTGTGCTTCGAAGTGATAAAGTAATGTCATTAAGGAAACCACGATTTATTCGTCACAGAAGAAGTTTCTCAGCCGTGCATATGTTCGCACCGTAATAAGACATAATAATTCAATCTCGGAATGCAATTGCTTTGAACGTGTCTTCTACGATTTAACAAATGAAGCCATTAACCGTGAAATTGTCATTGTTAGTACGCTCGTCGTATATAAGGCTTTTCAAAGTCTGTTAATATTTATAACATTAATATCTCACGTGATCAAAGCTACAGCGATCTTTTGTGTAATTTTCAAGAATACGTAATCTTGCCGATAATAATGACACACAATCCGAGATTTGTTGCGTATGATTTTTGATCATTTCTCGCCCAAGTGATTTTTTAGGTCACCTCAGGTTTTAACCACTATGTGGCCTGCGTAACATCGACGATAGAGAGAGAGACCAGATCAAGTAAGTTTGCAATTGGTCGGTTTTGTCGCGAGTATTGTCGGGGAAAAAGCCGTCGTCGGCTTTCTTTTCGTATTACACACACGCCGATTATTTCGCGATACTCGTTTCACCGAATCGCGCGGTGTGAAATTTGTCCAATCTGAGGGAAACGAAAATCTCTGCCCGGCTTGAGCAGAGATAGAGATTGACATTGAGCGCGGTACAACAATCGCTCGCTATCGCTTTCATGTCACATCGATACCGCCCGGCGAGAAGCGAGCGGTTCTGGGGTGGCCGACACTCGTCGACGTTCCGTTCGAACGTAGCCGATGAAGATTGATAAGCCGCGATAGTAAAGCAACGAAAGGTGCGATTGCGTACAGTGACAGCAACGCGTCACCTTGCCTGTATGCATTCATCGGTTTGCACTTTGCAGTGCGGGTTTGTACGTCGCATGGTGTCAAACGCATTCATGCGACACGTGCGTGAACACCATATCCGCTTATATTCGACGTACATCATGTATTCCTGAGAGAAATGTAGAAATTTTAATCTCTTTTAAATCATCGAAAATAAAATCATTAACTAGGTTATAAAAATAGTAGTTTTTAAAAGGACTTACTAATGAAAATAAAAAATAATGAGGAATTAAATATAAAAAGTTAGGAATAGAATATTATTTTTTATCAATGAAAAAATGCTTTGGTATTCTTTGATTGTAAAACATGAATTCCTATATATTGAGATTTAATTCTTTATTTGATTTTATATTTTTAATGTTCTAAATCTTTTTATTGTATCTTGGTCCTAATATTTTGCGGATTTACGCGAATTACACCCTAATTAATATTTTGGTCAGCAGTAATAATCCAGTCGCCTACACAAATAAAAGTTTTTAAAAAATTATTTTATTTTAAATTGTGCATTTTAAACAAATTTTAAAATAATTATTATAAAGAGAGATTTTACATATTAACAAATAAATAATTAGTCTATTGTTTCTACATAAAGATAAAGTAGGTGCTTGTTAACGGAATTACTACATTGATAAAGTGCGTGATAAAAAAAATTAGAATTATGATTTTAGAAGAAATTATAGCTTTCCGACATAGTGTGTTTGAAAAAAATTGATTTGTGAATCGTAATAATGCGACTTTTATGTAAATTTATCGTACGGATCATAAAGGTCCGTATATACTACAAATGCATTATGCTTTGTACTGTGAGAATGCATTCTTAATGCTCGTCCTTCGACGTCGAGTCCTTCGTTTGTTCAGGGCTGGTGAGTTGTTTAACGTCGATCCACGCCTTTGTTGTTTCTCAGTGGCGAGGCCCGTTCCCTATCGGTGACATGATTTAATCAGGATCACGTAGAAGTGAAAAAATACATGCCCCCTTTGTTCGACAAAAGAATGTCAGACTGATTTACGCAACACCGGGCAGGAAACTAATAATCGCGTTACTAATTGCTACTGAAAAATCCGAATCTGGAGAAAGAAGACAAATGTCACAAGAGAGAAAATCGGTGTTATCGAAATGCCTTTCAGCTTTGATCCATGAAAACTCGCTTTGCAAAAAGTTGATTTTAAATCTATCAAGATGCAATTGAATGCATCATTAGCCCTCTGATATGCTTCCGGTCACGAAATGCAGAAATCGCGTTCAAATATCAAGGTCGCCATTGGCGAAAGAGGTGAAAAGAGAGAGAGAGAGAGAGAGAGAGAGAGAGAGAGAGAGAGAGAGAGAGAGAGAGAGAGAGAGAGAGAGAGAGAGAGAGAGAGAGAGAGAAAGAAAGAGGGAGAAAGGCAAGAGAATAGCCTTCCCTTTTCCGATCTTCCCGGCAAACTTCCCGGGTTAGCCCGATCACCTCTGGCTCCCTCCAGGTTGCCGGTGGTCGGAACCACCGT